ACCGCTCTGGCCTCCAAGGAGCTGAGCGAGCCCTGTGCCTGGCACGGAAGGCGGTGGCTGGAAGCAGGCAGGCTTGCAACCTGCCTCGTAGCACCTCCCCGTCCGTCCTGCCGTCCAGCGACGCTCCTGTCTGTGCAGCCTCCCCAGCCTGGCCCAGGCGCCTTATGCCAGCAAGTCCAGCAAGGCCAAGCAGGAGGGACATAGCAGGAGATGCCCTAACCCACGTGCCCCGTACCCATCTATGCCCATCTCACACGTAAAAGACCTCTACCCATCAGTCGCCAGGTCCTTGTGCTCGCAAGGGTACTTACGGGCCAGGCACCAGCATGTTGAGGGACCTGTCGCAGGACACGCAGTGGAAGTGAGCCAGCAGCTGCCTGTGGAGGAAAAAACAGCTCAGTGAGCTCCTGGCAAGCGAGATAAAGTCCAGCCAGCATGGAGACAGCATAGAAAGAGGTTCAGAGGCAGGAGCAAAGTGCTGGACGCCTGTTTCTAGAGAGTTATGGCCTTTGCTAGGGTAACCGTTGTTGGGTTTTGAGCCTGGCTTCCCATGGAAACACAGCCCACAGGTCTCTCCCTCCCTTCGTCCCCTGGCCCAGCCAGCTGAGTTCAGCCCCATTTGACTGAGGGGAGATGTCTGTAAGGCATCGAGGTGCTACGAGCTTCACCAATCAAGGCGGCTGGATGGGGGAGAGACCTCCTGGGGTCACAGCTGGGAAAAGCTCAACCTTGTATTAGGCACAGGAGAATCCACAGGGTGAGGAGAACACCCTTAAAAACCCCACCACCATGGGAAATAGCTCCTGCTGGCACCCGCAGTACCCCATCCCTCTGAACCCGGCAGGTGTTGGGCCTGCCGTGGACAAAAGGAGCAATTTGCTGCACCTCTTGCTGGGCCCAGTTGTGCTGCCGCGGGTCCCTTGCCCGGGAGCAAACGCTGGGGCGGACGGATCCCCGACTGCAGTAAAAGCACAGCTCCGGCGTGGGATTTACACCGCACGGACGATTCCCTTTCCCTCTTACAGCATCTTGCGTTTGAGGCTGGCACTGCCGGGGCAGGAGGGGCTCCCACGGTGCGCAGCATCCCCCAGCCCGCACA